TCATCGGCGCTCGCGAATGAAGAGCGCCCGCTGCACTTCCTACACATGTGCGTTTCCTTATGCGTTTTGGGGCTGGAAGCGCTCGTTCCGAGCGTTTTTCTTCCGTCGGGTCACGTGGCTGCGCTTGTCTGGGCCTATTGCCAAGCCAGCAAGGGTGTGGGAGGGTTGCGAGCATCATCGGTTATCGGCGCTCGCGAATGAAGAGCGCCCGCTGTACTTCCTGCACTTGTGCGGATCCTTCCGCGTGATGGGGCTGGAAGCGCTCGTTCCGATCGTTTTTCTTCCACCGGGTGATGTGGCTGTGCTTGTTTGAGCCTATTGCCAAGCCAACAAGGGCGTGGGAGGGTTGCGAGCATCATCGATCATCGGCGCTCGCGAATGAAGAGCGCCCGCTACACTTCCTGCACATGTGCGGATCCTTCCGCGTTTTGGGGCTGGAAGCGCTCGTTCCGAGCGTTATTCTACCACCGGGTCATGTGCCTGCGCTTGTCTAGGCTATTTCCAAGCCAGCAAGGGCGTGGGAGGGTTGCAAGCATCATTGGTCATCGGCCCTCGAGAATGAAGAGCGCCCGCTGCACTTCCTGCACATGTGCAAATCCTTTCGCGTTTTGAGGCTAGAAGTCCTCGTTCGGAGCGTTTTTCTTCCGCCGAGTCTCGTGGTTGGGCTTCTCTGGGCCTATTGCCAAGCCAGCAAGGGCGTGGGAGCGATGCGAGCATCATTGGTCATCGGCGCTCGCGAATGAAGAGCGCCCGTTGCACTTCCTGCACATGTGCGGAACCCTTCGCGATTTGGGGCTAGAAGCGCTCGTTCCGAGCGTTTTTCTTCCGCCGTGTCACATGGCTGCACTAATCTGGGCCTAATGCCAAGCGAGCAAGGGCGTGGGAGGGTTGCGAGCATCATTGGTCATCGTCGCTCGCGAATGAAGAGCGCTCGTTCCGAGCGTTGCACAGGGGGGGTTGAGTGATCGAAGCGTGGCAAATGTGGTTGGGAAGGAGGGAACTTCATCATCGTTTGGTTTTGTTTGGGAGGGAAACCGTGGCGGGTCAGCTGATCTTAGCGAAGCAACAGCCGCTGGATGAGAGATGTGTCACTGCATCGCACTGTCAAGGAAATGCTGGTGGCTCACGCAAACCTCGAGGGAACCTGCCATGTACCGAAGCATTTTGTGCTGGCTCGACAAACACTGGAATGCCTTTGTGACAGCAGCGTACGTTGGGCGGGCTTCGTCGTCAAGAAGTTCGGTCTCCCAGGTTACGGAGATTGAAGTCAGCGTGTCCTCCAAGACCGTGGGATGACAGTCGCCATGCGGCGTTCTGGGTGGTCTCATTATAAGCACTCAGCAATTGTCGACTTCGATACATTCATAAGGAAAACACATGTACAAATTGAAGAATGACTACCTTTCCATAATGTTGACTGTCAGAATCCCAGCCACTAACCACTGGGATAAAAGGGCTTGTTTGTGTAGCGGGTGAGTGCGCCCATAACCCCCCAGGCCGCCATGCCTGTAACCCTTCCCTAGGATCAATCGGGGATCACCGGTGGACCTCTGACAGTTGACAACCTTCCATGTCTGTTGCCAGCTATAGCCTCGCCGTTATAACCAACCCACTAAGCGTTGATTTCGCTTCTCCAACGGGACAATTTCACCTGTGTTCCACACTTTTGAGGCTTTAGCAGTTAATGTAAGCCACGCCTCTTTGCAAAGTCCAGCTTGACTTGCACTGGGACTCCCTCCCTCTCTCAACAACAAGAGGAGAAACCCAAGGAACATCCACCCCATTGTCTGACAGAGCAGCTGATTTTTCAAAGCCACATCATGGTGGAAAGGAGGCTCGAGTCGAAGCGGCGAGGTTCGGATCATCAGAGAGAAGGGATTGGCTACGAAGTTGTGACAGAGGTTAGATTTGAAAACTTAGGAGAGAAACTGAAGGTCCCTGTGAGGAGGTCCCTAAACTTGCATTATTTAGGCGCCCCAATGCCGTCATCGCCCGGATATAAGACATATATGTCTTATCTCGTACACGGGCAAAAATGCTTGAGTTATCTTGTATTTGGGGCAGTTGAGGGTGTCTTATAAGTCTTATCAATGGAAACTTTTTTTAACTAGTTAGAAATATTTTCACACATCTTGAAAAGTGTTTCTGATAATGAGTGTGGATGTTGCGAAGGTGCTACTTCGGCAACCACTGCCCGGGGCACCACGTCATGTAGAACACTTGCAGAGGCAAATTTGGTAGTACCTGAGTCAGCACGTGGCAGAATTCGCGCTTCGCAAGGGTAAAAATGTACGCGATATTTCAACTTTCACTATACCGTAATATATCGCAGTTTCGATTATAAGACACATATGTCTTATCTGGTACACACAAATAGGTATCTTATTAAGAGGCTAGCCTGTTTATAAGAGACACCCGGATAATAGACAACCCCTGTCTACTATTCAACACTGTCTACTATCCGGGCGTTTACGGTATTATGCATCTGGAGAATGCATTCAGGGCCCTATGAATGTAGCACATTACAAGGAACTTCAATCGATACTGGTATGGTACGACCGGTACATCAGCAGTTTGCAAGGACTGGAATGTACTCAAATGGGGGGCAATAATAAAACAGGTACTGGTATTGTTTGAAAGTACTCAAATGGGAGATCAATTTACAGCAGATGCCCAAGGCAGAAACTCTGTTGGCCAGGTCAGGTCTTCTGTTGGCCCATGTCAGTCTTCTGTTGGCCCAGGTCAGTCTTCTGTTGGCCCAGGTCAGGTCTTCTGTTGGCCCAAAAATTGCGCTGGCCCAGGTCTTGTTGTTGGGGCACAACATACTAATCCAGACACCATACCGGTAACACAACAGACCGTACCAAACCATACAACACCATGAGAAACCACACCATACTACCATATCATACCAGAGTTAGAGCGGATCGCTGACTACGTGTCATCCGCTCTTGGTGTCATCCGATATTGTGGGACCCAATCGGAAGACTCAAATATCGAGGTTTGGGTTTTCCGATTAGATCCCACAATATCGGATGACACCAACAGCGGATGACACGAAGTTAGCCGCCCTTATAGACTTCACTGCAAACCACACCAAAGTGTACACCAAACACCAGAGTATACACCATACATACTTCGTACCATACCAAACCAGACCATACAACGTGCAACACCTTTAGCAAACAACCGACCCCCGACCCCAAACCACACATCCACCAACCAAACCACCCCTCCGACCAACCCACAAAGCATCCACCGAACGATACACCCACCAACCCACAAACCACCCACCCAACCATACACCCAACCTACCCACACACCACCATCCCAACCCCCCACTCACACACCCACCCACCACTACCACCACCACTTTATGTCTGACTCACCCGCCCTTGGGGTTCCAACCCCTTTCTTCACACATACCCACCCTCGAAGCTTCACCCTTTTTCCCTCACACTCACCCACCCTTTCAACTTCAGACACCTTCCCTCACACACCCAAGGGGTTTCAACCCCATTGAACCCCAACCTTGGGGGTTTCAGCCTCTTTCTGTCTCACTCACCCACCTTTGGGGTTTCAGCCTCTTTCTGTCTCACTCACCCACCCTTGGGGTTTCAGCCTCTTTCTGTCTCACTCACCCACCCTTGGGGTTTCAACCCCCTTGCCCAAGGGGTTTCAGTCCCTTTCTCTTCCGCTCACGCACCCAAGGGGTTTCAACTCCCTTCAATTCCACCCACACACACCAGATGTTTCAGCCCCACATTTCAGCCCCACATTTCAGCCCCACTTTTCAGCCCAACTTTTCAGCCCCACTCACCCAAGGGGGTTCAGCCCCATTCCCTTCCACGGGGTTTCACACCCCCCTCCCTTCCACTCAACCACCAACGGGGTTCCAGCCCCATCCCCTTCCACTCACCCACCCAAGGGGTTTCAGGCCCCTTTCCCTTCCACTCACCCACCCAAGGGGTTTCAGGCCCCTTTCCCTTCCACTCACCCACCCAAGGGGTTTCAGGCCCCTTTCCCTTCCACTCACCCACCCAAGGGGTTTCAGGCCCCTTTCCCTTCCACACACCCACCCAAGGGGTTTCAGATCCCTTTCCCTTCCACTCACCCACCCAAGGGGTTTCAGGCCCCTTTCCCTTCCACTCACCCACCCAAGGGGTTTCAGGCCCCTTTCCCTTCCACTCACCCACCCGAGGGGTTTCAGGCCCCTTTCCCTTCCACTCACCCACCCAAGGGGTTTCAGGCCCCTTTCCCTTCCACTCACCCACCCGAGGGGTTTCAGGCCCCTTTCCCTTCCACTCACCCACCCAAGGGGTTTCAGGCCCCTTTCCCTTCCACTCACCCACCCGAGGGGTTTCAGGCCCCTTTCCCTTCCACTCACCCACCCAAGGGGTTTCAGGCCCCTTTCCCTTCCACTCACCCACCCAAGGGGTTTCAGGCCCCTTTCCCTTCCACTCACCCACCCAAGGGGTTTCAGGCCCCTTTCCCTTCCACTCACTCACCCACCCAAGGGGTTTCAGGCCCCTTTCCCTTCCACTCACCCACCCAAGAAGTTTCAGGCGCCTTTCCCTTCCACTCACCCACCCAAGGGGATTCAGCCCCCTTCTCCTCCCTCACTCAACCACCCAGCCCATCCCCACCATTACCTGCCAGCAGTAGGAGCAGCAGAGAGCCCACTTTCTTAAGGAAACAGCAACCCCTGAGGCTGAGCCTTGTGGGATGAAGTGTGGTAGTGGAAAATCGCTTCCAGCCCAAGACTCAAATCCCACCCCTGACGTAGCTAGAGCTGACGCGAACCAGAGCCGCCGGCCGGTCGGCTCTGACGGTGCCCATTAAGCCTTAAACGCCAGTTCGGTTACTTGAGCACCGAGTGCCGTGCCGCAGAGATTCACCCACCACACCCCAACTCACAAATTACAACCCCAGAGGATGCTGCCCCTAAGGCAGTGAACTCCCCGCTTGCTCCCATGCTCCCAACCCTCCCTCCCCACACTTCACCCCCATGCGTACTTACCTCTACCTACCTTAGCGGTGCAGAGCACCATGATGCAAAACGGAGAAGGAGGCAAAACCAGGGAGGAGGAGGCAACACCAGTGAGGAGGAGGAGGCAACACCAGTGAGGAGGAGGAGGAGGCAACACCAGTGAGGAGGAGGAGGAGGAGGAGGAGGACGAGGAGGAAACACCAGTGAGGAGGAGGAGGCAATACCAGTGAGGAGGAGGAGGAGGAGGAGGAGGCAAAACCAGGGAGGAGGAGGAGGAGGAGGAGGAGGAGGAGGAGGAGGAGGAGGAGGAGGAGGAGGAGGAGGAGGCAACACCAGTGAGGAGGAGGAGGCAACACCAGTGAGGAGGAGAGTAAACACCAGTGAGGAGGAGGAGGCACACCAGTGAGGAGGAGGAGGCAACACCAGTGAGGAGGAGGAGGCAACACCAGTGAGGAGGAGGAGGCAACACCAGTGAGGAGGAGGAGGCAACACCAGTGAGGAGGAGGAGGAGGCAACACCAGTGAGGAGGAGGAGGCAACACCAGTGAGGAGGAGGAGGCAACACCAGTGAGGAGGAGGAGGCAACACCAGTGAGGAGGTGGAGGCAACACCAGTGAGGAGGAGGAGGCAACACCAGTGAGGAGGAGGAGGCAACACCAGTGAGGAGGAGGAGGCAACACCAGTGAGGAGGAGGAGGCAACACCAGTGAGGAGGAGGAGGCAACACCAGTGAGGAGGAGGAGGCAACACCAGTGAGGAGGAGGAGGCAACACCAGTGAGGAGGAGGAGGCAACACCAGTGAGGAGGAGGCAACACCAGTGAGGAGGAGGAGGCAACACCAGTGAGGAGGAGGAGGCAACACCAGTGAGGAGGAGGAGGCAACACCAGTGAGGAGGAGGAGGCAACACAAGTGAGGAGGAGGAGGCAACACCAGTGAGGAGGAGGAGGCAACACAAGTGAGGAGGAGGAGGCAACACCAGTGAGGAGGAGGAGGCAACACCAGTGAGGAGGAGGCAACACCAGTGAGGAGGAGGCAACACCAGTGAGGAGGAGGCAACACCAGTGAGGAGGAGGAGGCAACACCAGTGAGGAGGAGGAGGCAACACCAGTGAGGAGGAGGAGGCAACACCAGTGAGGAGGAGGAGGCAACACCAGTGAGGAGGAGGAGGCAACACCAGTGAGGAGGAGGAGGCAACACCAGTGAGGAGGAGGAGGCAACACCAGTGAGGAGGAGGAGGCAACACCAGTGAGGAGGAGGAGGCAACACCAGTGAGGAGGAGGCAACACCAGTGAGGAGGAGGCAACACCAGTGAGGAGGAGGCAACACCAGTGAGGAGGAGGCAACACCAGTGAGGAGGAGGAGGCAACACCAGTGAGGAGGAGGAGGCAACACCAGTGAGGAGGAGGAGGCAACACCAGTGAGGAGGAGGAGGCAACACCAGTGAGGAGGAGGAGGCAACACCAGTGAGGAGGAGGAGGCAACACCAGTGAGGAGGAGGAGGCAACACCAGTGAGGAGGAGGAGGCAACACCAGTGAGGAGGAGGAGGCAACACCAGTGAGGAGGAGGAGGCAACACCAGTGAGGAGGAGGCAACACCAGTGAGGAGGAGGAGGCAACACCAGTGAGGAGGAGGAGGCAACACCAGTGAGGAGGAGGAGGCAACACCAGTGAGGAGGAGGAGGCAACACCAGTGAGGAGGAGGGCGCTTGCTTGGGCCTCTTGCCAAGCCAGCAAGGGCGTGGTAGGGTTGCGAGCATCATCGGTCATCGGCCCTTGAGAATGAAGAGCGCCAGCTGCACTTCCTCCACGTGTACGGATCCTTCCTTGTTTTGGGGGTTGAAGCGCTCGTTCCGAATGTTTTTCTTCCGCCGAGTCACGTGGCTGCGCTTGTCTGGGCCTATTGCCAAGCCAGCAATGGCGTGGGAGGGTTGCGAGCATCATCGGTCATCGGCGCTCGCGAATGAAGAGCGCCTGCTGCACTTCCTGCACATGTGCGGATCCTTCCGCGTTTTGGGGGTGGAAGCGCTCGTTTCGAGCGTTTTTCTTCTGCCGGTGCGCTTGTTGGTGACTATTACCAAGCCAGCAAGGGCGTGGGAGGGTTGCGAGCATCATCGGTCATCGGCGCTCGCGAATGAAGAGCGTCCGCTGCACTTTCTGCACATGTGCGGATCCTTCCGCCTTTTGGTGGTGGAAGCTCTCGTTCGGAGCATATTTCTTCCGCCGGATCACGTGGCTGTACTTCTCTGGGCCTATTACCAAGCCAGCAATGGCGTGGAAGGGTTGCGAGCATCATCGGTCATCGGCGCTCGCGAATGAAGAGCGCCCGCTGCACTTCCTTCACATGTGCGGATCCTTATGCGTTTTGGGGGTGGAAGCACCTGCTCCGAGCGTTTTTATTCCGCCGGATCATATGGCTGCGCTTGTCTGGGCCTATTACCAAGCCAGCAAGGGCGTGGGAGGGTTGCGAGCATCATCGGTCATCGGCGCTCGCGAATGATGAGCGCCCGCTGCACTTCCTCCACGTGTGCGGATCCTTCCTTTTTTGGGGGTGGAAGCGCTCGTTCCGAGCGTTTTTCTTCCGCCGGATCACGTGGCTGCGCTTGTCTGGGCCTATTACCAAGCCAGCAAGGGCGTGGGAGGGTTGCAAGCATCATCGGTCATCGGCGCTCGCGAATAAAGAGCGCCCGCTGCATTCCTCCACGTGTGCAGATCCTTCCGCGTTTTGGGGTTCAAAGCGCTCGTTCCGAGCGTTTTTCTTCCGCCGCGTCACGTGGGTGCGCTTTCTTGGGCCTATTACCAAGCCAGCAAGGGCGTGGGAGGGTTGCGAGCATTATCGGTCATCGGCGCTCGCGAATGAAGAGTGCCCGCTGCACTTCCTGCACATGTGCGGATCCTTCCTTGTTTTGGGGGTGGAAGTCCTCGTTCCGAGCGTTTTTTTTTCCGCTGGGTCACGTGGGTCCACTTGCCTATTACCAAGCCAACAAGGGTGTGGGAGGGTTGCGAGCATCATCGGTTTTCGGCGCTTAGGAATGAAGAGCGCTCGCTGCACTTCCTGCACATGTGCGGATCCTTCCGCGTTTTGGTGGTGGAAGCGCTCGTTCCAAGCGTACTTCTTCCATCGTATCACGTGGCTATGCTTGTCTGGGCCTATTACCAAGCCAGCAAGGGCGTGGGAGGGTTGTGAGCATCATCGGTCATCGGCGCTCCGGAATGAAGAGCGCCCGCTGCACTTCCTGCATATGTGCGGATCCTTCCGCGTTTTGGGGGTGGAAGCGCTCGTTCCGAGCGTTTTTCTTCCACCGGGTCACGTGGCTGCGCTTGTCTGGGCCTATTACCAAGCCAGCAAGGGCGTGGGAGGGTTGTGAGCATCATCGGTCATCGGCGCTCGCGAACGAAGAGCGCCCGCTGCACATCCTGCACGAGTGCGGATCCTTCCGTGTTTTGGGGGTGAAAGCGCTCGTTCCGAGCGTTTTTCTTCCGTCCGATCACGTGGCTGCTCTTGTCTGGGCCTATTACCAAGTGAGCAAGGGCGTGGGAGGGTTGCGAGCATCATCGGTCATCGACGCTCGGGAATGAAGAGCGCCCGCTTCATTTCGTGCACATGTGCGGATCCTTCCACGTTTGGGGGGTGGAAGCGCTCATTCTTAGCGTCTTTCTTCCGCCACATCAAGTGGATGAACTTCTCTGGGCCTATTAGTGCCAAGCCAGCAATGGCGTGGGAGGGTTGCGAGCATCATTGGTCATCGGCGCTCGCGAATGAAGAGCGCTCGCTGCACTTTCTCCACGGGTGTGGATGCTTCCGTGTTTTGGGGGTCAAAGCGCTCGTTCAGATCGTTATTCTTCCGCCGGGTCACGTGGGTGCGCTTGCTTGGGCCTATTACCAAGCCAGCAAGGACGTGGGAGGGTTGCGAGCATCATCGGTTATCGGCGCTCGGGAATGAAGAGCGCTCGCTGCACCTCCTCCACGTGTGCGGATCCTTCCGCGTTTTGGGGGTAAAAGCGCTCGTTCTGAGCTTTTTTCTTCCGCCAAATCACGTGGGTGCACTTGTCTGGGCCAATTACCAAGCCAGCAAGGTCGTGGGAGGGTTGCGAGCATCATCGGTCATCGGCGCTCGCGAACGAAGAGCGCCCGCTGCACTTCCTCCACGTGTTCGGATCATTCCGCGTTTTGGGGGTGGAAGCGCTCGTTCTGAGCGCTTTCCTTTAAGCCAGATCACGTGGGTGTGCTTGTCTGGGCCTATTACCAAGTCAATAAGAGCGTGGGAGGATTGCGAGCATCATCGGTCATCGGCGCTCCGGAATGAAGAGCGCCTGCTGCACTTCCTGCACATGTGCGGATCCTTCCGCGTTTTGGGGGTGGAAGCGCTAGATCCGAGCGTTTTTCTTCCGTCGGGTCACGTGGCTGCGCTTGTCTGGGCTATTAGCAAGCCAGCAAGGGCGTGGGAGGGTTGCGAGCATCATCGGTCATCGACGCTCGCGAATGAAGAGCGCCCGCTACACTTCCTGCACATGTGCGGATCCTTCCGCGTTTTGGGGGTGGAAGCGCTCGTTCTGAGCGTTTTTCTTCCGCCGGATCACGTGGCTGCGCTTGTCTGGGCCTATTACCAAGCCAGCAAGGGCATGGGAGGGTTGCGAGCATCATCGGTCATCGGCGCTCGGGAATGAAGAGCGCCCGCTGCACTTCCTCCACGTGTGCGGATCCTTCCTCGTTTTGGGGTTGGAAGCGCTTGTTTCTAGCGTGTTTCTTCCGCCAGCTTACGAGGGTGCACTTGTCTGGGCCTATTTCCAAGCCAGCGCGGGCATGGGAGGGTTGCGAGCATCATCGGTCATTAGCGCTCGCGAATGAAGAGCGGCCGCTGCACTTCCTGCACATGTGCGGATCCTTCCGCGTTTTGGGGGTGGAAGCGCTCATTCCGAGCGTTTTTCTTCCGCCGAATCACATGGCTGCGCTTGTCTGAGCCTATTACCAAGCCAGCAAGTGCGTGGGAGGGTTGCGAGCATCATCGGTCATCGGCGTTCGCGAATGAAGAGCGCCCGCTGCACATGTGCAGAACCTTTCACGTTTTGGGGGTAAAAGCGCTCGTTATGATCGTTTTTCTTCCGCCGGGTCACGTGGCTGCGCTTGTCTGGGCCTCTTGCCAAGCCAGCAAGGGCGTTGGAGGGTTGCGAGCATCATCGGTCATCGGCACTCGCAAATGAATAGCTCCCGCTGCACTTCCTATACTTGTGCATATCCTTCCGCGTTTTGGGGGTGGAAGCGCTCGTTCCGAGCGTTTTTCTTCCACCCGGTCACGTGGCTGCGCTTGTCTGGGCCTATTACCAAGCCAGCAAGGGCGTGGGAGGGTTGCGAGCATCATCGGTCATCGGCGCTCGCGAATGAAAGCGCCCGCTGCACTTTCTCCACGTGTGTGGATCCTTCCACGTTTTGGGGGTGGAAGCGCTCGTTCCGAGCATTTTTCTTCCGCCGGGTCACGTGGCTGCGCTTGTCTGGGCCTATTACCAAGCCAGCAAGGGCGTGGGAGGGTTGCGAGCATATCGGTCATCGGCGCTCAGGAGTGAAGTGTGCCCGCTGCACTTCCTGCACATGTGCGAATCCTTCCGCGTTTTGGGGGTGGAAGCACTCGTTCCGAGCTTTTTTCTTCCGCCGAATCACGTGGTTGTGCTTGTCTGAGCCTATTACCAAGCCAGCAATGGCGTGGGAGGGTTGCGAGCATCATCGGTCATCGGCCCTTAAGAATGAAGAGCGCCCGCTGCACTTCCTGCACATGTGCGGATCCTTCCGCGTTTTGGGGGTGGAAGTGTGAAGATAGTAGCTAGAAGTAGGAGCCATAGCTAGGAGAACCCTAGCTAGGCAAGAGAAAGTTTAGGCAAAAGAGGAGGGGTTTCACTAGCAGCAATGAGGATACATATAGCAAACCCTAGATGGGTTGTACTCGCTATAGAGCACCCCACTACAGGCTAGAGAATAACATTCTGACACACCCCCATAGCCAAAGTGGGGTGTAATCAGTACAATGAGCAAGCAGGTATAGAGCAGGTTCACAAGTGCAAGCAAAGCTAGAGGCTTTCACAAAGGGCAAGTGAGGAGGAGGCGAGACTGTAGGAGGAGAGGAGATAAGAGGCGACGGCTGAAGCTGCAGACACACGGGCAACAGGAGTCAAACTGGCACAGTGGCTACCGGAACAGCGCCCCGGAATACAGGAGTAACTGGCTCCGCGGCTAAGTGCGGCAGACGAGCAACGGACCCACGGGCGACTGGCGCAGCTGGCTACGACTGGGCTACCGGAACAGCGCCCCGGACTACAGGTGCTGCTGACGACAAGACGGCAGCCTCCGCTCAACCTCCCCCGACCGTCCCACCCCCCTCTCACACACCCCCTGCTGGAACCCTAGCTCCACTCCCACGTCACCCCCCTAGCACCACTCCTTCGGCTCCCACACACCCACCCCCCTCAGCGGCAGCTGCAGCAGCGGGAGACGGAGGAGGAGGAGGAGTAGGGGACGGGGCACACAACCGGCACCCCCACAACCGCCACCCCCACACTCCCCACTCCCAAACCCTAAAAGGGGTGGCACGGGGTAGGAGCGCGGGGGAAGGCGCGTGGCACGACGAGGGCGAGTGCAGGGGTCCCCGGGGGTGGCGCGCAGGTCCAGGGGAGGGGCGCGCGGGTCCAGGGGGACGGGCGCGCGCGTCCCCGGGGGCGGCGCGCGGCTCCCCTGGACGCCGCGACGAGGTAGCGGGGGGCCGCGCGCGGCTCC